GCGCGATGGGTGAAATATAGGAATTTTGTTTGGGAAGAAACAGTCGCATTCTCAACATGAAAATCTGCCATAGTTTAAGCAAAAATTAAAGTTACTTCGCTTGGTGCTGGATCCTTTTATGCCGCCGCACCATGTTTGTAGAATAGTTTTCCTGCTGAATTGCGTGCAATCTCATAATTGACAATTTTTAAAAGCAATCTTGACCCCTACCTTTTTGGTCAGGTTTTTCTTTAACCTATTTAGACCAAATATTTTATTTTATGTAAGTTTTTATGAATATTATTTAATCTGATTTGTTTTATTTTCTGGTAAGTCTCATTTACATTTTACATAGTATACTTCGATTGTTGCAGAACAGTTTCATAGCTGAATCATTGTGAAGCGTTGCTGATCATTTCCATGTAAATAGACATTGTTTCTCGCTCATGTTTACTTTCTTTCGCAGGCGATTCACGTGTGTTGTCATTTCCGCCTTCCCTCCCCCACCCCCGCACTTCTGGCAACCCACGAATTGCATACAGTGTAATAGCTCTTATGTGCGATGACGTTATTTACCAAAAGATCCACCCATACGCCTCGTTTCCACTCAAATTTACACGCACCTTGGCCTCTTTCTTGTTTTCTCCATTTGAATATTCTTTTTGATTTTAGTGTTTCAGGAATACCGTCGTATTAAAATTCATTACGTGGGTAAAATTGGGTTTTATGACGTTAACTCTTTAACTTCCAAGATCTGATTGTTAATTCTCCTCTCTAGCTACTACAAATATCCATGTAAATTAGTCATGAGAATTTGGTGTAAGATCAAGATAACAACTTCTACCTGATTAGTTTGGATATTCTCATTACCTGTTTGCTGGATAATGTGAGGATATTATAGGGAGAAGTTAAATGTTGATCCCTTCTGAGAGTTAAATGGTTAACATGCATAAAGCCTCTTTCCTGACTCACTCTTTTCCATACTGGATGCTGTTTGCAATTGTCACATTCAACAACGTTCTTATGGCGCTTGTGTTTTTTAGTCTAGAACACAAATATTCATCTTGAAATGATTTTTACTCTAATTAATCTCATGATACGTGTTGATATACAAGCGGTTAGATTTTATCATCCTCACTTCTTACCATTCTCAAGTAAATGAAATAGGAAAACGAGAGAATGTTATTAATTCTTAAATGCTGTTACGTTTTTCAGTGAGATATTTGTCAGTTATGAATAATTTCATGATCACAGATAGTTATTAAGCTAACTTAAATTAAAAGTAAATTCTCTGACCCTATTTTCAGTCTCAACGTTTTCTCAGGAATAACAGAGTAACTTTCTTGCGATTTAATAGAGAGTAGAATGCAAATAACCACTGATCATTTACACTATGCAACTGAGTCAAATTTGGTAGTAAAAAACTAACATTAAAGCAGTTGAACTTAAACCTAACAACAGCATTCTTCTAATCTTCATTCCAGGCCGAAAAATATCAAATTCTCACTAGTAGTGTTTGGGTACGGCAGGTGAGTCCTGGGAACCAACATTACCTCGTTCCCAGACCCTCCCTTCACCCTTTACCTGTAGCTTGGTGACGAATGACCCCTTCCGTAAGGCTTGTGATCAGCGGTCATACCAATTGAAATACGCTGCGTACGTCATCAGCTATGAGGGTGGGGAGAGGGCTGGGAATGAGTATTCTGCATGCTCTCATACTTAGGTGCTTACTTTTCCAGGACGAAAAACACCAAATTCTCACAACAGACATCTGGGTTAGGCAGGTAAGAGAAACAATCCAAAATCATGGATTCTACAGGATTTAAGTGCTCAACCAGATTATCATCTATTGCTTCTCTCTGGTCGTTTTTCTCTTGCACGAGGTTTCTACTTTTAAGAGGATCAAAATACACTCACGAGAATTCCGAAAAACACGCCCCTTGCGCTAAACATCATGTTTCATGAATGGTGATTCCTACGCGATCACTTGATTCAGCCTCATTGCGTGACGAAAGTTTTTATCAAAGCATGCTAGTTTGGCTTTATCAACTGAGTTGATTATGACTACCGTAAAGAGTTTTTAAAGTTGTCGTTTCGAGCGTTCGCCCTTCGTCAGAGCTTCGTTAGTCCTTCGTTAACCTTTCGTGATCACTCTGACGAACGTATATCGATCGAAACATCAACTCTTTTTACGGCGGCCAATTTACATCATCAACTCAGATGGTAGAACCAAATGATCTTTTAATACCCCTGCCGTTGCAGCACCAGTTTTCTTTAGAAACTCTAAATCGTGTGAGAAACCATTCAATCATTTCCGCGATGGAAAAACGCACCATTACGAGAGTTCTACTTGACATAGCAAAACCATCCATTTGAGAAAGACCCCCCC